CCCTCTACTCTACCCAGCATGATGTCCCTCTCTAAAGACCTGTCTCTCCTTACAACATGTACAAAGTATGTCAGACGAAGACCCAGAATCCTTCCCTCCAAGGAGTAGCCTGGTTTAACCCTCTCTAGGATGAATCTGTTTGTATTCTTGGCAGTCCATGGTACATTCAATACTCTTCTCCAGCACCACAGCTCAAAGGCATCAATTCTCCTTCTATCCTCCCTAGTCATTGTCCAGCTCTCTGATGCATAACAAGTGACTGCAAAAACCATGGCCTGTATTTGTGTTTTTAGTTAGGTTTATTCCTAAATGTCTCAATTTGTGGTTGTCTATTATAAATGGTTTGTCCTGGAGAAGGTGAAGCCGGAATGCTCCTTAGAGTCAAGGATTCTGAAGCTTCATCTGACATACTTTGGGCATGTTGCAAGGAGTGACTGGTCCTTGGAGAGAGACATCATGTTTGGCAGAGTGGAAGGGCAACGAAGGAAAGGAAGACCTTTGATGAGATGGATCGATTCTGTGACTGGAGTGGTGGGAATAAGTGCATTTGAGATGGCAAGTGACTCAATTTCCCATAATAACAACAACATTATAAATGGTATTACTTTATTTTCCTTCTCTTTGTTTTGTTACTGTAGAGGAATCCCACTGACTTTTGGACATTGATCTTGTATCTTGCCATTCTACTAAACTGGTCTGCTAGCTCTAGCAGTTTTTTGGTTGAGTCCTTGTGGTTTTCTGAGTATGTTATCCAATTATTTGCATATAGAGGCAGTTTCACTATTTCTTTGCTGATCAGGATGTCTCTTACTTCCTTCTTTTTCCATATTGCTCTAGCAAATACTTCCAATACAATATTGAATAGGAGTGGTGACAGTGGGTATCTTTGATCCCAATTTGCAAGAATCCTTTTAGTCTGTCTCCATTGCGAATGATATTGGCTCTGGGTTTATGTATATACTTTTCACTATGTTGAGGAAATTTCCTTTTATTCCTATTTTGCTGAGTGTTTTAATCAGGAAGTGCAGGAAGGGATATTGGATTTTATCAAAGGCCTTTTCTGCATCAACTGCTAGGATCTCATGGTTCTCATTATTTGCTTTGTTAATGTGATGAATTACATTGACTCTGGGAGTGTACTTTCTTTGTCTATTTTTTTAAAATAATTTAAGTAGAATTGGTGATAGATTTTATCTGAATGTTTGATAGAATTCAACTGTGAAGCCAACTACTGGTCCAGGGTGTTTTTTTGTGCGGGAGTCTTGACTTTCTCAATTTCTTCTTTTGTGATCGGTCTGTTCAACCTGATGCACTCCTTTCCTGATTTTGAGCCACGTAGGCCCCAGGAATAGATGGTATACCAATTGAAGTATTTCAGCTAACAGATGCTGCCCTGGATGTGCTCACCAAGGTGTGCCAAGAAATCTGGAGAACAACCACTTGGCCAACTAACTGACTGGAAGAGATCTATATTTGTTCCCATTCCAAAGAAGGATGATCCAACAGAGTGTGGAAACTACAGAACAATATCATTGATTTCACATGCAAGCAAGATTCTACTGAAGATGATCCAAAAACGACTGGAGCAGCACATCAGCAGAGAACTGCCAGATGTCCAGGCTGGTTTCAGAAGGAGTCGTGGTACTAGAGATATTGTAGCTGATGTTAGATGGATCTTGGCTGAAAGCAGGGAATACCAGAGGAATGTCTATCTGTGTTTCATTGACTATGCAAAGGCGTTTGACTGTGTGGATCATAACAAACTGTAGCTGACTCTGAGAAGAATGGGAATCCCAGAACATTTAATCGTGCTAATGCGAAACCTATACTTGGACCAAGAGGCAGTAGTCAGAACAGAGCAGGGTAACACTGCATGGTTCAAAATTGGGAAGGGTGTACGCCAGGGATGGGTCCTGTCTCCATACCTTTTCAACATGTATGCAAAGCAGATTATCTGGGAGGCTGGGCTCTATGAGGAGAATTGTGGCATCAGGATTGGTGGAAGATCTATTAACAATCTGCGTTATGCAGATGACACAACCCTGCTTGCTGAAACTGAGGAGGACCTCATGCATTTACTGCAGAGGGTCAAGGACTGCAGCCTTCAGTATGGACTGAGGCTCAATGTCAAGAAGACAAAGCGTCTCACCACTGGACCAATTGGTAGCATCAGGATGCATGGCAAAGAGACTGAGATTGTTCACAGCTTCAGTCTGCTCGGCTCCACGGTCAACACTCTTGGCACCGTATTGCAATGGGAAAGTCTGCTGTTAGGGACCTCTCTAAAGTACTCAAGAGCAACGGTGTCTCTCTGGAGACTAAGGTGCGCCTGATACAGGCCATGGTCTTTGCAATCACTTGTTATGCATCAGAGAGTTGGACAATGATTAGGGAGGATAGAAGGAGAATTGATGCCTTTGAGCTGTGGTGCTGGAGAAGAGTATTGAATGTACCATGGACTGCCAAGAAAACAAACAGATTCAGCCTGGAGAGGATTAAACCAAGCAACTCCTTGGAGGAAAGGATTTTGGGGCTTCGTCTGACATACTTTGGGCATGTTGCAAGGAGGGACAGGTCCTTGGAGAGGGACATCATGCTTGGGAGGGTGGAGGGACGGCGCAAGAGGGGAAGACCGTCTATGAGATGGATTGATTCAGTGACTGAGGTAATCGGGATGGGTGTGTCAGAGGCAGTGCGATTGGCACAAGATAGAGCAGGGTTTAGGGCTGTTGTACACAGGGTCGCTATGAGTCACAAATGACTTGACGGCATATAATAACAAGTGTTTTTTTGCTCTATTCTGAGTGCTTCCTGGTCCAAGTAGAGGTTTCACATGAGCACAATCAAGTGTTCTGGGATTCCCTTTCTTGACACGATTAGCTACAATTTGTTGTGATGAAACACAGAAAGACCTTCTGGTACTCCTTGCTTTCAGCCAGGATCCACGTGGCATTGATGTCCTGTGTGCTACGGCCTCTTCTAAACCCAGCTCGTACATCTGGCAGTTCTCTTTCAATTCCAGTCAATTATGGATCATCTTTAGCAGGAGTTTGCTTGTGTGTAATATTAGTGATACTGTTTGATAACTACCCCATTCTAGTAGTTCTGATATAGTAGTAAATAGCTTCATATTGCTCTTCTAACTATTTATGGTCTTGTGGCTCATACCTCATGGCTGGGTGGGGATATGGAGTTGCATTGCCAACTCAGAGGCAGGCACATGGTTTAAATCTACCAGCTGCTCTATGGCAGAAAGATGGGTAATCTCCTCCTCTGTGATTTACTGCCTCTCAAAACCTACTCGAGGGACAGCTAGGAATAGGTTTTGACTTGAGGGTATTAACAACATGTAAATAAAGAGTAGAGTATTTCCAGGTACTTATAAGAAGAATTAAAGAATTCTATAATATTTGGCTGAGAAGGACCAAGAGCCAAGAGCAAAGGACCAAGGGCTGGGGGTCAAGAGGATCCTATCCTAAGCGGGCCAAGAGGACCTTTGTATTACTGAGAAAGTTGCCCTGCATTAAAGAAGGGTGATTTTGCATACACTTCTTGATTCTAATCTCAAGTTGTAACCTGCTACCTCCCTAATAAACCTCCATACTGTACATGTGATCTGTGAGTTCTTTACGGCCAGTGCAACAGTTTCTCAAGCCCAGAAGATTAATAACATGCTATGGGAGAGATGCTAGTTTAAAATTCAGTATAAAGAATAGATGAAAGTCAGACATCTGACCTCCACCTCACAGAAATTAGCCTTTGATTGATGATGAGCTTAACTTCTTTTCCACCTTTTATGAAGCTGAACAAAATCAGATGTACTTGTGACATTTTCACCACAGTAATAAAAGAGAAGAAAAAAAAATCTGAAAAGCTAGTCTATTCTTTCTTACTAAAGGTTTTAGCTCTGGTGGCTGAATGGTAAGAAGTTTCTTATCAAGGCTTTTCACTGTGGTGGCTAAGTGGTAAGGAGCTGTACTGACAACTTAAAGGCATGATGTGGTTCAAACCCACCAGGTGCTTGGTAGGAGAAAGATGGGCAATCTCCTCCCCTGTAATGTAGAGTCTCTGAAAGCACACTGCAAAGTCAGTTCTAAGTGGGTTCCAACTTAATGCAACTTAACAACCTCTTTCTAAATCAATGTGCTTTGAAATATTTAAATGGCAAGTATTTTTCTCCCTTCCAAATTATAACAATACAGCTTCAAAATTTGCTTAATTAACCCTGAAAGAGTAATTTTTCTTTTGATCTTTAAAATGAAGATTTACATTTACATGTAAATGGTAACACTAGGACTTAGTATTAAAAATAAGTATCATAGTTTAAATAAATTGCCCAAATTAAAACCCTCCATCCTGTTACATATCTTTAAACAAACAAGTTACCACAGGGCTTAAGTTTTACTTTCACAAAAAGCTGACATAATATTTCAGTATAAAGAAAAAACAAAGGTTTAAGATATATTTACTATATAGATGAAACTCTATACTTTCAGAGACCTGGTGGCACAGTGAGTTAAATGTTAAGCTGGTAATTGAAAGGTTAATAGTTTGAACCCATTGTGGAGGAAAGGAGACAGCCTGTTTCCATAAAAATTTTTGGCCTCAGAAATCCTAGGGGGTAATTCTACTGTCCTACAGGTTTGCTATGATTTGAAATCTACCCAACAGTAGTGTGTGCTGTTTCCATTCTTTAGTCAGAATGTGTAATAAACACTGGAGACAGAAATTTGCCTTTCTCCTTTTTCTCTCAACATAATTTTTTTTTTAAATTGGTGAATTACTTATTTATGGAACAACAGGAATGGTGAATTCACTTTTACAATCTTATTGCATTCACAAACCAGATTGTAGCTTGTAGGGCTGAAATTCTAGATGGCAGATACACTGTTTCTCCATTTACTCTGATTTTTGGACACAACTTTGAAATTCTGGGAACAAAATAACCCACTATGATACACCTATCACCAGTAAAGTGAGTAGGACACTAGTTAACTCACCATTTTTTAGGTTTTGATAGTAGTTTGTATTTGCTGTATTTCACACGCCATTCGAGAACTTCTTTACACCGCTGGCAGACTCCATCATGAAGTTTTGCATTAATTTTCTTAAAAGAAATAGAAAACTGAACTTAGAATTTTACCCATCTAAGTAAACATTTCTAAATGCAAGAAAAAGGCCTATTTAGGTTTTTTTAAAAAGTAATATTCTAACTTTAAATTAAGTAGCATTATATATTGTTGCTGTTTCGTGCTGTCAAGTCATAGGAAACTCATAGTGATACTATGAACTTTTGTTAACATTTGTATAACTTTCATCTTTTTCGAACTTCACAGGGTTTCTGGGGATAAGCCATTTCAGAAGTGAATGCCACTCATGCTTTCTTATATAATATTTATTTTACATCTATTACTAATTTCATCTGATTATTTACAAATGCAATGGATCTTAACTAGAATGTAACTCAGAATCATCTAGAAAACTTTCTAACCTCCCGACAAATACATTTTGAGGAAGTCTTTACGGCTAATTCTAGAGTTTTACATTTATCAAAACTCTACATTTAAGATCTCTATGTGTATTGCATGCACATTATACCTGAATAAAAAAGTCAGTAAGAAAATAAATCTTAATTCATGTTTTAAATCTACTGTTTCAGCTATTCAAATTCTACCAGTGAGTTAGAATTAAACAGAGAAATCAGATAGTCTTGAATTACCAGTCTACAAGGGAGAGGAGATACTATGAAAATTGAGAAAGGCGATGGTAAGAAGCAGTCAGAAGTATAAAGCATTTAACTGTCCAACTTAAATTAACCCTTTTGTGTTTCCATGCACAGAAAAATGTTTTTGAAAAGTTACCTTTACAACTTGTTTCTTTTAAAGCAGGAAAAAAGTATGCATGTATGAATGTTTGTGGTGAAAAGGGAGTTTTATTCATCACCCAATGAGAAGCTGACACCCAGTTGTATCCCCCTAAAGTGTATAAAAAGAGCCAACTTTGTCTGCTCAGGGTCCACTCCTCTGTCTCCTGCGAGAGATACGCGTCGGCCCGGAGCTCCGCAATAAACCTCTTCCTCTTGCTGTTGCAAAAAAAAAGGGAGTTTTAGGAGAGAAAACACTAATTTTCTCTTTAAAATTTGTAGGGAAATAAGGAAGATTTTAAAATGTCATAGGGAGCTCTGGTGGGCTATAGGCAAGTGGATAGAAAGTTGCCAGCCACTGTGTGGGAGAAAGACAGGCACTTTCAACCTGTGTGATTTAGGGGCTCTAAAAAAACCCCTGGGGGGTCAGCTCAGAGTGAGTTCTGACTGGATGGCAATGAGTTTGAAGTTCTGATACATTTTCCACAGTGATTTTATTTTTATGCCTACTTGTTTAATGCAAAATCTAGATACACATTTTCACTAACTACTCTGAAAATAATCTACTTTGGCTGTAGAACTTGGTCTCTATTGTTGTAATAATGAGAACATTTAAAAGTGTCTTTCTTTCTTTTTTTTTTTTTTTAATTTCTCCAGGGGACAAAGAAAACAATCCAAAAGCTACAATTCCTTTGGGAGGTTATCTGATAGCAAGTTTAGAGGTCATCTGCAAGAAAACCAAACCTTTCTAATCAGTGCTTGTATTTTTCAAAGGTATAAACAAAAAGGCAATAATAATTTGACACAGCATTTATTGTAAGAGAAAACATTTCAAGGGTATATTTTAAAAACCATGAATAAAATAGAAATTATGCTTGTCTTTGGTGAAAATACATTTTGTTATTTATTAATTGAGAACTACAGAAACTGAGGTAATGGGAGTGGAGGACAGGAGAAGGGAGGAAAATGTACAACAATGAATGGATGGAAATCCAAGTTCTCTATAAACCTTCAATAAAATCTCCATAAAAAAAAAACACACACACACAACAAAACTAAGACAACTACTGTTACTAGGCATGTTGTTGTTGTTAGGTTCTGTCCAGTTGAGTATGACTCATAGTGATCCTATGAATGACAGATCTGAACCCTACCCTATCCTGTGCCATCCTCATCATCTCTGACACACTGGAGCCTATTGCTGCAGTCACCATGTCTATCCATCTTGTCGGGGTCTTTCTCTCTTTTGTTGACCCTCTACCTTTCCAACCATGACGTCCCTGTCCAAGGAAGAGCCTTGAAGATGTGCTATCCCTGCCTCCAATGTGCACTCTGGCTGCACCTCCTCCAAGACTCATCTGTTTGTTTCTTGGCAGTCCATGGGAAGTTTAGCACAGGCACTAGTTTCTTCCTGATGCAGGGGCTCTGGGAAAATAAATTCAGCATGCCATGACCACAGATCTCTTAACTGCCATCAGAAGGGGAAATATGTGCTCACATGACAATCTCCTCTCCTTCCTCAAGCCTGGCTGTTGTGTACAGAGGTTGCAAAGAAATACGCAGAACCGAAGTCCATTTCACCATCTGCTCTCATGATCTCTGTTGCTTACTAAAAAAGTGTTGCTTATTTTTCCATAACTCTAACAAATGAGAACACGATAATGACTGTGAATGACAATTACAACATGAACACTTTCTAATTAGAATATCCTCAGAATAGAAAGCATTTCATTACCTTAAATTGTGTTATATAGCATGCTCTGCCTGTTAGCATGACTTGGTTTCTTATTTGGATCCAATTTCTAATGAGTTCATCTGGATTTACAAAACTACATAGTTTTGGAACTGGTTTCTTTAGGGTGGATTGACAGTGAAACAAAAGAGGTCTTTGTAGGAACTTGTCCTGTAGTGATGTGTGAAGCCGTATAAATGGAGAGGTTGTACAGGGTTCACATGATCAACAGGCACTACTACAAAATTAAGCTTGATTTTCATGGTAAGAAAGAAATGACAAGGGTAGAAGAAAGAATGAACAGACTTTCCCCTTAAAAATAGTTTCCAAAAGAAACAGAAATTGTGCACTCTGATTCACTATGTTTTGGCAAACTAGAAGAGGAAACACATTCCAGAGACGTGATCAGTGAAAGCTAAATCCTAGTTCTAGGAATCATCCAGCCTGGAGCAAAGGAGATGGCAATCCTAACTTACTCATGCCTGCGTCTACAAACAACCAAGTTATAGCAATTAATTCTAATATATCACTCATAGTAAAAGATTGTAAGCTATTAAGTTAAAAGCTTCTTCTTTTTGTTATGTGCCATCGAGTTGCTTGTGACTCACAGTGACCCTATGTACAACAGCTCTGAATCCTGCTCTATCCTGAAGCAATCTTATTGTCTCTGACATACCTACCTCCATTCCCCCACTCACTGAGTCAATCCATCTGAGTCATCTCATCCAGGGTCTTCCTCTCTTGCGCTGTCCCTACACCCTCCCAAGTACGATGTCCCTCTCCAAGAGCTGGTCCCTCCTTGAAACATGCCCAGTATGTCAGATTGAGCTTCAGAATCCTTGCTTCCAAGAAGCAATCTGGTTTCACCCTCTCCAGGTTACTAAGCATGTTCAAATACAAACCCAAAACTTGGGTTTTAGAAGTTTTAGAAGGCAGAAAAACTTTCAAAGATCATTTAGCTTATTATTTGACAAGTTACAGATTCTTAAAGGAAAAACTGCTCCTTGTCTCTCAAGTGAATAATATTTTTCTCCTAATTTAGAACAAATTTGTTGTTAGTTGCTGTCGGGTTGATTCTAACTCATGCAAACCTACGTGTTACAGAGTATAAATCTGTATGTTGTTAAGTACCACTGAACTGGAATGGACTCATGGCTGACCCCTCCAGGAGATTTTCAGAGGCAGTAAAAGGCAAGGGAGCAGACAGACTATTTTTCTCCCAACAAGCAGCTGATGGAATCAAACTGCATGCTGTTGTGTTGGCAACAAGCTCCTTGCCACTAAACTACCAGAGCTTCCCTATGTATATACTCTTGATTCTTGCCCTGTCCCACAACATCCTCATAATCTCTGATTTGCTCAAGTTCACTTTTACACTCACTTTGTAGTCTACCATGTTGAAGGTCTTCCTCCTTATTTGGCTCCCCACCAAACCTAGCATGATGACTTTATCCAAGGAGATAAATACACACACACATGCACGCACTACATATCATCAAGTCAGAACTGACCCATTGCTGACTCTCCAGCAGGTTACTAGAGGCACTTAACAGCTTGAAAGGAGATTGCCCATAACGTATACTGCATTGAAACAGATGAGGGAGAAAACTGTTTAAAAGGGATATGTGATTAGGTATTTTTGTCATGACAGGAGTCCAGAGCGAAGACTGCA